AGTGATTTCAAATATGTACCATTAAGTAAGAAATTCAGAAATATGACTGATTCTGAAAGAGCTGAAGCTGCTAAAAAAGACGCAGCATATTCTAAAATTGTTTGTGTTTGTGAAAAGGTTACAGAAGGAGATGTCAATGCTGCTATTGATGAAGGTGCTAGAACTGTAGATGCAATTAAATTAAGAACAAGAGCTGGTATGGGAAGATGCCAAGGTTCATATTGTACTCCAAGAGTCATGGAAATTCTTTCAAAAAGATTGAATATTCCAATGACTGCTGTTGCAAAGAATTATCCAGGATCAGAAATAGCACCATACATTGCTGGTGGAGAAGAAAAGAAACTTACAGAAGAATATCCATCATGGGAAACAATCCCCAAACCACACATTACAAAACCATGTAATGGTGAAACTGTTGAACGAAAAGAATTTGATATTGTAGTAGTTGGAGGTGGACCATCTGGACTTGCAGCAGCCAAAGCAGCACTTGAAACAAAGAAAGATCTTAAGGTTGCTGTTATTGAACGTATGGAAAGAGTAGGAGGAGTTTTATTACAATGCATTCATTCAGGATTTGGACTTGGAAGATATGGAGAAGAATTGACAGGACCAGAATACGCATATAGACTTGGTGAAGAAACAGAAGCTGCAGGAGCAGTACTTATGGTAAATACATATGTTACTGATGTTGAAAATAAAGGAGAAGAATATGTTGTTAAAGCAGTTGTTTATGGAACAGCACCAGTTGAAATTCATGCCAAGAAATGTATCTTTACAGTTGGATGTCGTGAAAGATCAAGATTTGGTATTAAAGTAGCAGGTACTCGATGTGCAGGTGTTATGACAGCCGGACTTGCACAAGCATTAGTTAATTATAAAGGAATTCTTCCAGGAAAGAAAGTTGTAATTCAAGGATCTGGAGATATTGGATTGATTATGGCAAGAAGAATGGCTCTTGAAGGAGCTAAAGTACTTGGAGTATATGAAATTCTTCCAAAAATATCAGGTTTACAAAGAAATGTAGTACAATGTTGTAAAGATTTTAATATTCCAATTCATTTGTCAGAGGTTGTTACTAGAATTAATGGATATCCACGTATTACTTCAGTGATAATGACAAAATGTGATCCAAAGACACTTGCACCAATTGCAGGAACAGAATATGAAATTGAATGTGATTGTCTCTTATTATCTGTTGGACTTATTCCACAGCCAGATTTAACTCAACAAGCTGGACATAATGTACAATTAAATCCAAGAACTAGAGGACCAATTGTAGATGGATTTAGATGTGTTGAAAAAGGAATTTATGCAGCTGGTAATCAATTACATGTACATGACCTTGCAGATGAAGCATCCAATGAAGGAGCTATTGCAGGAGAAGCTGCAGCACTTTCATTAGGAGGAGAAAAAGAAGCAATTAAAGTTATTCCAGCACCAGAACTTCTTTATTGTGTACCAGAAAGAGTAGTTATTAGTGATAAGAAACAAAAATTATCATTTAGATTTAGACAAGACTTTGGAAGTGCACATGTTATAGCAAAAGTAGGAGAAACTATTATTGGAGAAGAAGAAATTGAACATGCTATTCCAGCAGAAATGGGACATGTTTGGGTAATTCCTAAAGATTGTCAAATTGGACAAGAAGTTACACTTACAGTTATTCCTAAAGCACATGAAGAAGTAACAGAACAAAAAGAAGGAGAAATAGTAAAACATATGAATTGTATTGTATGTCCAAGAGGATGCTTAATTGAAGTTAAGATTGATGCTAAATCAAATGAAATTACATCAATTAAAGGAAATTCATGTCCAAGAGGAGCTGCTTATGTTAGACAAGAACATATAGAACCATTTAGAGTATTTTCAACAACTCTTCCAGTAGAAGGAGGAAATTTGATGAGAGTACCAGTTAAATTAACCAAACCAGTACCACGATCAAAGATATTTGAAGTAATGGAAATTATTCATAAACAATCACCAATTAAAGCACCAATCAATAAAGGAAAAGTGTTGGTAAAAATACCAAAAATGACAGATATTGTTGCATGTTATCCAGTTGTTG